CCTCAATCAAAGGGCAGGTGCTTGCCGACTTTGTCGCCGAATTCACTGGTGTCCTGACCGACTTCAAGCCTGACGAAATTCGACCGAAACCGAACTGAAGGATTTATGTTTTGGATATTTGGCAGTTGTATTGCGATGGATCGTCCAATCAGCGGGGCAGTGGAGCCGGAGTTGTCATCATGTCTCCTGACGGCGCAATAATTGAGCAGGCCGTCAAGCTTGACTTCGAAGCATCAAATAACGAAGCCGAATACGAAGCCCTCCTAGCCGGTTTACGAAACGCGCATGTTCTTGGTGCTCGGCGTTTGCTTATGTTTTGTGATTCAAAACTGGTCATCAACCAGCTAAAGGGGGAGTACGCGGCAAAGAACGACCGCGTGGCGGCCTACATGAAAACGGCCAATTCCTTATTCGACCATCATGAGTTGAACCAGATAACACGTGATCAGAACAACCATGCAGACGCCTTGGCTTGCCTAGCCTCCGCCATTAACTCAGAGATTAAACGGACTATCGAAGTAGGTTTCATCCCGGAGCTAAGCATTGGCCCTTCAGAGGAAGTCTAGATTAACGTTATAGAATCTGCCCCAAGCGGGATGCATCCCATTGCTGCTTTCCTGTCCTCTGACCAACTCCCAGAGGAGAAGAAAGAAGCGCACAAGTTGCGAAACAAAGCCATGAGATACTATTTAGATCCGCAAGGAGGGCTCTATAAAAAATCCCTCTCTGGTCTATATTTGGAATGCATGCACCCAGACAAAGTCGAGGAGCTTCTGACTGAAATACATGAGGGTAGTTGTGGTGCCCATTCTAACGGGCGTTCTTTGGCCCATCGAGCTATAACGCAGGGGTATTATTGGCTGACAATGAGAGCAGACGCCGAGTGTTATGCAAAAAAGTGTCAACAGTGCCAGAAGTTCTCCCCACTAACCCATTTGCCCGCAGAAGAGCTGAACTCTATTACCAGTCCCTGGCCGTTCGCCTAGTGGGGGCTCGATATCGTAGGACCATTGCCGAGGGCCCCAGGGAATAAGCGATACTTGATCGTCGCAACAAATTACTTCACAAAATGGGTCAAAGCGGAGGCATTAACACACATTCGAGACGTTGATGTTAAACGCTTTGTGTGGAAGAACATCATAACACGATTCGATATTCCAAGAGCCCTTATTTCAGACAACGGCACTCAATTTGATTGTGGTGTTTACCGAGAACTGTGCGACAAATATGGTATCCGGCCGTATTTTTCTACGCCGACTTATCCCCAAAGCAATGGTCAGGCCGAAGCTTCAAACAAATCCATCCTGGACGGCATCAAGAAAAGGCTGGAGAAAGCCAAAGGCAAATGGGTCGAAGAATTACCGAGTGTATTGTGGGCTCATCGAACAACGCCGAGGAGATCAACTGGAGAAACTCTGTTTGCCCTATGCTTTGGCAACCAGGTGATTTTACCCCTGGAGATCCGCCTCCCAACCCTCAAGTCGCAAGTTTTTGATACAGGCTGAAACGACATGATGCTGGCTTTGGATTTGATTCTAATCGAGGAACGAAGAGACTGCGCCCTTGCGTCCATGGCACGGTACCAGCAACAGTTGGCGAAATCATACAATCAACGAGTTTAGTTGCGCCGCTACACACCAGGAGAATTGGTCCTGAAGAAGGTGCTTCCAGCCGACAGGAAGTCGGCTGATGGAAAACTTGGTCCAAACTGGGACGGCCCCTATCAAATAGATTTCATCGTAGGAACAGGGGCATATCGGCTGAAAGATATGACAGGAAGGAGTCTTCCAAGGCCCTGGAACTCAACCCACTTGCAAAAGTTTTATCATTAAACTCGACCTGTGGGGAATGATTTTAGTGTTAAACGATTCGCCATGTACAAATTCCATTTTGTAATACGAGGATTCTAGTCGAAAATTGTTGTAAAAGTGTTCCGAAAAAGCCTCCGGATTCGGAGCGCCCTTCATGGATATCACGATCGGCCAATCAAAGTCTCCAGATTCAGAGCGCCCTTCGTGGATATCACGATCGGCCACTCAAAGTCTCCGAATTTGGAGCCCCTTCGGCGCATGACGCCGTTGGGCTGAAAAAGCCTCTGGATTCGAAGCGCCCTTCGTGGAAATCACGATCGGCCAATCAAAGTCTCCGAATTCGGAGCACCCTTCGTGGATATCACGATCGGCCAATCAAAGTCTCCGGATTCGGAGCCCCTTCAGTGCATGATGCTGTTGGGCCGAAAAAGCCTCCAGATTCGGAGCGCCCTTCGTGGATGTCATGATCGGCTAATCAGAGTCTCCAGATTCGGAGCGCCCTTCATAGATATCACGATCGGTCACTCAAAGTCTCCGGATTCAGAGCCCCTTCAGCGCATGATGTCGTCCAAGCCTGAGCCTGGAGCCGAATAAATACCTAAAGAAAATGCCAAATTCGGAGTCTTATCAACACCGTTTTTGGGCAATGTAACGAGCATACTGAATAAATATTTAGTGACATGCTTCATTAGGACGAGCCGGCTAAAACCGTTTATTCGAACAATCTCTGTCCAATAAAGCACAAAACATGCAAACATATATACGCCAAAGAATTACATAATTACGCAATTTGACAAGTAACTGTAAGGCAACAGGAATATTAACAACATAGTATTTTATTCATCTAACAAGAAATTACATAATTTTCGACGCAATCCGCGCCTGAACATTACAACGAATATTTTTATGTGGCCTCTCCCTCATCGTTGCTCTTTTCAACCTCAAAGGCGGAAAAGGGAAAATGATTGCGTCGGTACCGTGGCAACGCCGAATCGACACCCTTTGCTTGAAGAGCCTCTGCGGCCTAAAGTGCCGCGATCCAACCGTGCTTAAATCCCCGATTCTCGCATCGGCGGACCTCCTCTGCAAGCTTCTTCTTTGTTTTGTCGATCCCAACCTTCTGGCCCGCATGAAAGCCTTGCTCATAACCTTTGGATCTCGCATTTTCTACGGCAAACATGCTAGCCGTGTCTCGATCGGCAATAGCATGACTCAATAGCCATTGAGTCACCATTTTGTCCATGATTGGATTAGATCGACCCGCCACGTGCAGCTTGGCGGCTTTAGCCATCCTAAGCTCATTAAGTTCGCGCTCGGTTTTCTCCGCCCGAAACTCCGAACTGCGGACACTTTCGTCCATCTTCTCTATCTCCCGCCGTGCGACGCGCAGGCGCATTTCGACTTTGTAAGCGGTGTACAGCCCCTTCACCGCCCCGTGGATTCCCTCTCGAAAGACGTCAAAATCTTGTCGGCCAACCATCGACTGCTGCACTTCCGGTGGAAAAATTTGTCGAGTAAATTCGACCGCCACCATTGGGTCCCTGATAATGGAGTCCGCCTCCGTCATTGGTCTGCTCCCCACAAAAACTGCGAAACTCAACGGTAATGGTCGCGGAGAGCTTCCCCGTTGTTATTTCTCTTTTCGGGGTGATCTACTTCGACGACTTGGAGGCTGACGTTTTTCCCATTCTTTGGACGCCCCACTTCCCGCACGGGTGGCCCCTCTGCCGCGATTCATCGCAGTATCAAGCTCAGCCAAAGTTCGACATTCACCTCTGCTGTTGAAGAAAACTCTATTTGCCATTCGCGATAAGTTGCCTTAAAAACACAGTAAGCGAAGTTACTGGCACAAACAGCCACCCCCCATTTATTTCTAATACTTGCAGTGCCCCCGAGGCAATTTCATTAACGCTACTCTCCAAACGACAGGGCAGATTTATTAATCTAGCCTGCCGCATACCCTGGCCTCATGCCGATCGATATGTGCTGCAGCCAGTACATTCACCAATTTTTAGCTTTTAAAACGGCCTAACTATCTAAACGACAATTTTTGGTCAATGCCTTTGAAGTTCATGCACTGGCTGGGGCAAGGGTAGATTTATCAATCTAGCCGGCCGCATACCCTGGCCTCATGCCGATCGATATGTGCCGCAGCCAGTGCATTCACCAATTTTTGGCTTTTAAAATGGCCTAACTATCTAAACGACAATTTTTTGTCTGCCTTTGAAGTTCATGCACTGGCTGGGACAAGGGCAGATTTATTAATCTAGCCGGCCACGTACCCTGGCCTCATGCCGATCGATATGTGCCGCAGCCAGTACATTCACTAATTTTTGGCTTTTAAAACGGCCTAACTATCTAAACGGCGATTTTTGGTCAATGCCTTTGAAGTTCATACACTGGCTGGGGCAAGGGCAGATTCATTGATCTAGCCGGCCGCGTACCCTGGCCTCATGCCGATCGATATGTGCCGTAGCCAGTACATTCACCAATTTTTTGGCTTTTAAAACGGCCTAACTATCTAAACAGCAATTTTTGGTCTGCCTTTGAAGTTCATGCACTGGCTGGGGCAAGGGCAGATTTATTAATCTAGTCGGCCGCGTATCCTGGCCTCATGCTAATCAATATGTGCCGCAGCCAGTACATTCACTAATTTTTGGCTTTTAAAATGGCCTAACTATCTAAACGACAATTTTTGGTCAATGCCTTTGAAGTTCATGCACTGGCTGGGGCAAGGGCGGATTTATTAATCTAGCCGACCACGTACCCTGACCTCATACCGATCGATATGTGCCGCAGCCAGTTCATTCACCAATTTTTGGCTTTTAAAGCGTCCTAATCATTTAGTCGGCAATTATACAACATTTGACCCAAAGAAATTCCATTCATTAGTAACAGCGAGGTACAAAATGAATTTTCATTAAGTAAATTGGGCACAAATTGTAACCATTTTATATATGAAAATTACTAAGCAAAAAACTGTAAAAAGCTGAAAAATACACGCAAATCCTAAAACAAAAAAACAAGCGCCTTTGAAATCAGCCATCGGAATCAGACTCCAGCAGCTCAACATTCACTTGCTCATATAGAATTAGCACAGCCAAAGACACATTAGCAGCAGCAAGGGCTTTGAGCCAGCCGTGTTTAAAGTCCCGATTCTCAAACTTGGGGACTTCGTCTACGTATTCATCATAAGCAGATTTTTTTCCCGACATCAAATGTGCTGGAAGCCTTCAGGTTAGTTGTTTCCTTCACCGCCTTTATCTCTTCCAACTCAGCCTTTAATTTAGAATTCGCCTCCTGGGCCAATTTATGCGCGGCGTCGCTCGCATTCGCCCTTTCCTCGGTGACTGATCTCAAATCTTCAGCATTACGGGCTCTCTCCAACTCGGCCTCGGCATGAGCGCCCTCGATCTGCACCCTACCCCTTTGGCCCTCAACCTCCGCTTCTAAACAGCCAATTTGCTCCACGGCATCATGATAGCGACGGCCCATGTCAGCTATCCTTCCGACAGTCTGCAAAACAGGAAGTTAAAACCAAAATAATGTGTAAGGAGAAAAGACAGAGTCAAGATATGTACCAAAATAGCCGATTGCGCGGCCAACGCGATTGTAACTAGATCCAGCTCCGCCCGAAAAGTCGCCTTATCAGCAGGCAGTGAAACGGACGTCGCCAAACTAAGTGCAACCGCTGGATTTTTTATTACCGAAGCATCGGAGAAGATCAGTGTATTTTTCATCTTCGGCTGAATAACAAAAGGTACAATCACATCCGATTCCTCCAAACGAGGCCGTTTGTCGGCGCGATCTTCTTCTGAGCCGGCCTCGACATCGGCAGGGCGCTTCTCCACCCTTTGCTCAGCTTCTACACTGGCCTGCACCAAGGGTTTCGTTTCGGTGCTTCCTCCTTCTACCGTCACTTCCTCAATAACGGGCAAGGAGGACTGAGACTGAGACTAAGATTCGGGATCCTGAATCTCCTCCGCCCTTCACCGCGCAGCTATCCTTTCCGCATTCACTTTCTTGGCAAGCTTAGTGAGGCTCAGCCCAGCCATATCTTCTGGGTACGTGCCGGGAAGATCCTCCAGACCTTGAAAAATATCATCAAGTGGACGGTCCTCTCAACCCGAAGTGGACAGATTATCAGCCGAATTGAGGCCGGCTTCCTCAAATGCTAATTTCAAAGCCTCGTCAACCTCTGTTTCGGCTTCGTCTGATTCGGCGGCCTCAGCTACTCCCGGTCGCTCCGAATCTGATTCCTCGCAACTGACTTGCCTCAAATTTTTGAAGTCGGTCAAGATATGGGTGATAAGAAACTCCTCACCGATCGGAATTGGGATATTTTTCGCTGCCGAAAAGGTTGTATAAGTCAGCTCGTAGCGGAGCAGAACGTGGGCCGCCCTCCCCTGCTTCTGAAGACTCCGTTGGCCGAAGTACTTGAGCGCAGTCTTGATTTCTGAAAGAACGGCGTCGTCAATTGAGGTCAAGATTTTCTTCAAATCGTTCATTGCAAAAGCAAAACCATAAGGTCCCAAAAATGAAGCTTTATAAATTTAACAAATGAATAAAAGATGATACTCGGCCACCTGGTTAGCCCTTCCGTCTAGGAATACAATCAAGGCGATCCTCGCCTTCGCCGAATTCCCAGTTTCCTTGGACGACGACCATAACATCATCGACTCGTTTTCCAGAGCTGGAAAACATAGTCACTAGTTGATGGTCGGTGTCTTTGGCTCTAAGGAAATAACGTCTGTGCCGACCAGAAGACTTGGCCAAGGCGTAGTAATGCTGAATAGCGGGGATGCCAAGGTTAAGCCCAAGGCGGTGGTTTAGTGTGACAATCCCCATCACAATCCTAAAGAAATTGACGTTGGGCTGCGAAGGGATTAAGTCCCAATGGCAACGCACGCCCCTAAGGAGTGGGTGAAGGGGGAAACGGACCCCGCCCTCTGCGATTGACAGAAGAGGAAAAACGATTGTGGTTTCATCAACCCTCTCCATATCAAGGGTGCCATCTGCCACAAAAGACAGACGGACGTCATTAGTGATGGAAAAATAGCGTCGGAAGCCAGAAATTCGATCCGGTGAAAGGAGATCTTTTAAATGTTTCGCCATTCTCCCCAGCCAATATGATTGTGCTAAGCCAAAAAACAAAGCAAGGAAAGAAATTCAAAGCAAAGAAGGAGAGAACTTACAAGTGGAGAAGGAGGTAGAGAAGAATAGGAGGTCGTAGAGGTAGTTCAGAAGGCAATCCAGCGACGGGCGTCTAAAAGCGTGTATCTATTTGAAAAGACGTCGAAATTTTAAATCACAATAAATGAGAGTGTACGAAGAGGCGGGAAGTTGAAATGATAACCGAGAAGCGTGTGGACAGACATTCGCATTGGAATACGGTCAGCCGCCGAATTCCGGCTCTGACTCTTCGAATTCAAAGCCAAACACTCCAGCCAACTGCCGCTAGTGGAGTGCTTAGGAGGCAATTGTGGGAGCCGAATATTGGGGGTCGTAGAGATTCCAGAGAGTCGAACATTGAAGAATCAAGATTCGAAACATTCGGCCATTGCCACAGAAACTCGGACCCAACCTTATTCGGCTAGATAGTCAATTAAGCAAGGGACGGAGTGAAGATCGGTTTATTACAAAATATGCCGAATAGGAGGTTGGATTTGGAACTAATCCCGAGGCCCAAAGAAGAAAAGATATAAATAAAAGAGACATCAGCCAGAAAGATGTATGTGATAATTGTGGTGTTTAACTTAGAATACAAGTAATCTAGAACGAGAAACTGACTTGTCCGTCGGAGTGCTAATTCCGGCACCCCCGACCGGAGTGTTTACTTCCTTTCAGGTGCCTATCTGTGGATCACAAGCGTCCCCCAAGATCAGAAGAGTATTTCCAAAAACCGCTTCCCCACACATATGTTACATCAAAAATTCAAAACTCAATTTAAAATTCAATTCAAAACTCATAACCAAACAAATTTTCTCTTTTCAAATCATAATTCCAAAACTCATAGACTCAAGATACAACTCTATTATTAGATCATAATTGTAAAACTCTACCAAACACTACCTAAGATTTTAAATATAAAAATTTTAAGACAAAATTATTTGTTGGAACAAAATATTTTATATTTTTAGCAACTGAAATTTGACAATTAATAACAATTACTACTCTTTTTCAGACTAAAATTTCCATCCCTAAAATTGCATTTAATAGTGACAGTTTTAAAATTTTGTTGTTAAAAGTCTTTTTTTTTCACTCTTCCGAACGTCGTTTTCATGGTGACCAAAATTGGTCTTCTAATATTTTTTGTAACAAATTTTTTACTTTTAAAGAAAAAAGTTTAATTTCTAAAACTCTTAGACTGTGTATGGTTTATAGATTTGGAAAGGGATTTGGAAAGAAAAAAAAATTGAAAAAATATATGAAATGTAGTTATATTTCACTCACATTTCACCTACTATTTTTCGTTTTCTTTTTCAAATCTATTATCAAATTCATGAATTAAGCACAATCTAAACCTATTTTAATGTAGAACCGAGCAGGAAGTTAAAACAAAGAATTCAATTGTAAATATGAATAATGTTATTTGATTGTGGTACTACTAGCAGTGGGCTTAAGTTTTTGAGTATGTGAGACCCACCCTTGATTCAAGTCGTTGGACAGACAAACCACTTGAGTCGTGACAAATCGTGTTAGAGTCTGAGTTCAAAATCATCAAGAAGAAAATAATCAATTTTGTCGCAAGAACTGGTTAGTATAATATGAAATAGGGGAAATTATTGTATGATGAATCAAGTGGGCTACTATTAATCCATTCAAAAAAAATGGAGAATTAATTTTGTCTTTGAAATAATTGACCCATGATTTCTCATACAGGAGTTCACAAAAGGTGATAAGTTAAAAAAAAACAGATTTACTGTACGAGTTCCCCCTCCCCAAAAAAAAATGTTTATTTCAAAAAAAAAAATTTCCTTTTCGTCGGTAAATCCTTTCATAAATTTAAAATTCAAACACAATATTACCGGAATAATTTTATTATTCAAGATATGTGTGTATATGTTCTGGCTGAAGATTCTTTTACTCACCCTAAGTCAAATATCATATATATCTCCGATTTAGTGTTAGGTTTCATAATCTAGTGTGGTAGATGAAAAAAAAAAGTGACTTACCTTAATGTAAGTATGTTTTAATTTTGATATCTTACTTTGCAAATGGTATATATAGATTTTTTTTATTCCTATCTAAAAGAAAAATATTGCTTTATAATTTGACATGGATAGGCCCACAAGGCTTACGGCCCACAGCAAACAACCCCAAACCCATCGCTTGGGACCCATAGCATAACCCGGTTGGCAAAGCCCAGGACAGCTGGAGGCCATCTGGACATGGAAGGCCAATGGCATTCGGGCACATGGCAGGTGAAACACAGGCCACATCAGCAGACAAAGATCTGCAGAGTTATTGCCACAACACATCACCATTAATGCAGCCCATCACAGCATTTATTACGACAACACCTCCCTATCGGAACAGAGCCCCCTCACCCTGAACAAGGTAAGCTACGGCACAGGCTTTCGGCAGAACGGGGCACGTCACAAGGGACAGTGAAATGATTACCAAAGGATATAAGCAAGAAGGGAAGACAAGAGGAAGATTAAGTTTTTCTATCTCTCGCTCTCTCTCTCTCTCTCTATATATATATTTTCCTTCCTCCTTTACTGATTCGCTCGCCGGAGGGTTCACTGGGGGACTACCCCGTTCCCCTTTGGACTTGCTTGCAGGTCATCTGGTGGAATCATCCGTCTGAATCGAAACTTGAAGAGCTTGGACCAGCCCGACCCATCCACCCAGGACGGACTGCATTATCAGCTGGCGCCGTCTGTGGGAAAACTTGTGGTTTATTCGTGTGCTAGTTGTGTTCACTATCGCTGGAGCCCTCCTTTCTCACCGTTACCTTTTCCTCTCACCCGTCCAGGTGTATGGTTACGACTAAGTCCATGGCTTCTCGCCATAATACCGCCGATCATCAAACAAACCCTTCCCATCCAAACAACCCACCACAATACATCATCGAACTTACTAACAGCATTAACCGCATGGCCGAGCAAAACCAGGCCCTGATCAGTGCTTTACTCCAAAGAAACCCTCCCCGCCCACCTCCAGAATATTCCACCCAACCAAGAAAAGAACCCCGGGCCACACTGCTCCACAACCCCCTCCCTCACCCAGAAATGGGGGGGGGGATTTACAACCCCCTCCTCCTCCACATTGAATCCTACCCCCTCACTCACGCCCATCGTCGTGCATCTAGCCCCTGAGGGGGAAGCTAGCAGTGTCCAGCCTCCATTGACCGACCATGGCGACAACATTCCCCTCTGGGACACTGAACTCCGAGCTATGAAGCTCCAACTACAAGGGGTCATACAGAACATTCAGCACAAGCCCTTAGTCACCGCCAACTCGCCTTTTGTTGCCTCCCAGGTTCCTTTCTCACAACCCGCCAAGTTCAAAATGCCCACCATTGACTCCTTCGATGGCACGACGGACCCAATCGACCATCTGGAAACCTACCGCATCCTCATGATCCTCCATGCTTTCCCTGACGAGATCATGTGCCGAGCTTTCCCTGTGACACTGAAGGGATCAGCTCGGTTGTGGTTTAGCCAGTTACCAGCGGACTCCGTCTCCACCTTTCAACACCTCAGTGACTCTTTCCTGAGCCATTTTATCGGAGCCCAGCGTCAGAGACGCCCATCCACCCAACTCCTTAACATTCGTCAGACCGAAGGGGAGTCGCTCCGCAGCTTCGTCACCCGCATCAACACCGAAGCCCTTCAAGTAGCGGAGAATGACGACAAGGTCATCCTCACGGCTTTCATGGCCGGCCTGCGGTCGTCCGATTTTCTTTTCTCCCTCTCCAAAAACCCTCCAACCACCATGGCTGCCCTACTATCCAAAGCCCAGAAATACATGAATGCTGAAGATTCCCTGGGCGCTCAGCAAGAGCCGATCACTAAAAATCCGACCCCCAGAGACAAGAGGAAAGACTCAGAACCCAGGACCGCCCAGTATAATAGCCAAACACCCCACTATAATGACCGACCCCTCCGAGCCGACCGGTCGGTTCGAGCGGTACACACCACTCAACTCCCCCATGGAGCACGTCCTCAATCAGATCCAGCGGGACTACCCCCTCAAGTGGCCCCTGCCTTCACGAAACCCTTCCAATCGCAAAGATCAGTCCAAGTACTGCCGTTTCCACCAAGACCATGGCCACACCACCGACAAGTGTATCAACCTCAAAGATCAGATCGAGACCTTCATACGTCAGGGCCGCCTCAGCCGATTGACAGACACCCGCCCTCAACAGAGGCAAAGAACCGACCTTCCCAGGAACAATCGCCGACATACACCACCCCGCAATCAAGCCCCACCTAACCAAGGCCACGATCGCCCACCACCACAGCCTCGGCCTCCAGGCAATCCCCCTCTACCAGTCGGAGAAATCAGAGTCATTTCAGGCGGCCTTGCTTGCGGGGGACCATCCCGCTCGGCTCAGAAGGCAGAGCTCAGAAAAATTAGGCAGGGCTCAGACAAAGCAGTGGCGACAGTGGACCGACCTCCCAAACAGTCCAAACAGTGGATCGAACCCATCACCTTCACAGACACCGACTGTGTAGGAGTCCGTTACCCACATGATGACCCCATTGTCATTTCCGCCATCCTCTCCAACTACAAGGTCAGACGAGTCCTCATAGACAACGGCAGCTCTTCAGACATCATCTTCCTCAATTGCTTCCGCCAGCTCAAGATTGGGGAAGAAAGCTTGTCTCCTCTCCAAACCCCTCTGGTCGGTTTCACCGGCGACCGTGTGACCTCCATCGGCTCCATCAATCTACCTATCACCATTGGCGAACACCCGAGGCAGACCACTAAATTGCTCACCTTCCTTGTGGTCAACTGCCCCTCTGCTTACAACATCATCCTTGGCCGCACAACCCTAAACGCCTTCCAAGCCATCACATCCACCTATCACCTTGCCATCAAATTTTCTACCGATCTCGGTGTCGGAACTGTCAAAGGAGAACAGACCGTGGCCAGGGAGTGTTATGTCGCCTCACTCAAAGAAGTCAAGCTAAAAGAGGCCATGATCATCGAAGGGCTTGACGTCCGAGACGAAGACGAGCTGGTCAGAGGTGAACCCGTGGAGGAACTTGTTGAAGTTAACATTGATCCCACCAACCCAATCAAAACTGCCAAAATTGGCAGCCAACTACCTTCCCAAGCCAAGGCTGACCTTACCGCTCTCATGATCGAGCACAGAGATGTATTCGCCTGGACCCATTCTAACATGCCAGGCATTAACCCCTCCTTCATAACCCACCGCCTCAGCATTGAACCTCACTTTCGACCACATCGCCAGAAGCAACGCATTTTCCATCCGGAGCGCAACACTCTTATAGCCGCAGAAGTTGACAAGCTCCTCGAGGCCCAATTCATCAAAAATGTGGACTACCCTAGATGGTTGTCCAACGTGGTCCTCGTCCGCAAACACAATGGCAAATGGCGACTTTGTGTCGATTACTCTGACCTGAACCGAGCTTGCCCCAAAGACAGCTACCCTCTTCCCCGCATAGATCTACTGGTCGATGCCACGGCCGGTCATCAAATGCTCAGCTTCATGGATGCCTTCTCTGGGTACAACCAAATCCTGATGCACACATCTGATCGGGAACACACATCATTTATTACCGACCGAGGTACCTACCACTATTGTGTAATGCTGTTCGGATTGAAGAATGCTGGGGCCACATATCAATGGCTGGTTAATGCCGTTTTCATCACCAAATAGGCCGGAATATGGAAGTCTACGTCGATGACATGCTAGTCAAAAGCAAATACTCCTCTGATCACCTCACTGACTTACGAGAAACCTTCGCCACCTTGCGCAAGTACCAGATGAAGCTTAACCCAGAGAAGTGCGCCTTCGGCGTAGGATCCGAATTTTTTTTGGGTTTTATGGTCAGTCAACGCGGCATTGAAGCTAACCCTGAGAAGATCAAGGCCTTGGTTAAGATGCAGTCGCCTAGGACAGTCAAAGAAGTTCAAAGACTCACCGGCCGAGTGGCGACCCTCAACCGCTTCATTTCCCGCGCAACAGATAAGTGCCTACCCTTCTTCAAAGTTCTTCGGCAGACTTTTGAATGGACAGCCAAATCCGAAAAGGCCTTCCAACAATTAAAGCAATGCCTGGCCAACCCCCCTTTCTTTCCCAAGCAATCACGGGCTAGCCCCTCTTCCTCTACTTAGCAGTATCGAGCACCGCAGTCAGTGCAGCTCTCCTCAGAGAAGATGGCTCAATCCAACGGCTGGTTTACTACATTAGTCGGGCTCTCAGGGGAGCGGAGCAGAACTACCCCTTATTAGAAAAACTGTCCCTGGCCTTGGTCATTGCCTCCAGACGACTCCGCCTATACTTCCAAGCCCACTCCATAGTGGTCCTCACCGACCAGCCCCTGAAGAAGGTCATGCAGCAACCGGAACTCTCAGGCAGATTGATGCAGTGGTCAGTAGAACTCAGCCAGTTTGACATCTCTTACCGACCTCGGACAGCAATCAAAGGGCAAGCTATAGCTGATTTCATCATGGAATTCACTAAACCGACCCCGACCACCACACCCCCGCCCTTACCAACTCTAACAGAGCCAGAAGACCCTCATTCCTGGACCCTCAATGTCGATGGGTCGTCCCGAAGAGAAGGAAGCGGTGCCGGCATCATCCTCACCTCTCCTGAAGGCGGTCACTTCAAATGTGCCCTCCGTTTCCTGTTTGAAGCAAGCAACAATGAAGCCGAATATGAGGCATTAATAGCAGGACTCCGCCTCGCCAAGGACATAGGGGTCAGCCACCTCCGAGTCTTCAGCGACTCCCAACTCGTCGTCGGTCAAATGACGGGGGACTTTGACGCCAAGGACGATACGATGCGAGCCTACAGAGACCTGGCACTCCCTCTTGCTCGCCTCTTCAATACCTTCCACATCAAACATATTCCTCGGGCAGACAACTCCAAAGCAGACAGATGACGGGGATTTCGACGCCAAGGAAGACACAATGCGAGCTTACAGAGATATGGCACTCCCCCTTGCTCGCCTTTTCAATACCTTCCACATCAGCCACATTCCTCGGGCGGAAAACTCCAAAGCAGATGAGATAGCTCAGCTGGCCTCTGCTGACCATCCTAATCTCAGCCATGATATCTGTCTCGAATATCTATCCCACCCGGCCATTTCACCCGACCTGCAAGCCGTACAGTTCGTCCAAAACGAACCCATCCCTTGGGCATCAGACATTCTCCTATTCTTGACCACAGGGGCACTCCCAGATGACCAACAGCAGGCAGCCAAAGTCCGATCCTGAGTGTCCAATTACATCATTGTCGACGGTATATTGTACAAGCGTGGTTTCTCCCGGCCATATCTACGGTGCCTCAATCCAGCTCAAGCAACTTATGTAATGCAGGAGATCCATGAGGGAATTTGTGGTAATCATTCAGGCGGCAGGTCCCTTGCCCAGAAGATACTCCGTACTGGGTATTTTTGGCCAACTCTTAATCAAGATGCGACTGATTTCGTGCTCAAATGCGATAAATGTCAACGCTTCGCCAACATCCCCCATGCTCCTCCTACAGAGTTAATCACACTCTGCAGCCCCTATCCGTTTGCCAAGTGGGGGATAGACTTGGTTGGTCCACTTCCCACCGGTCGAGGCCAGACCAAGTTCGCGATTGTCGCCATTGATTACTTCACCAAGTGGGTCGAGGCTGAACCCCTTGCCACAATCACCGAGCGGAACACCACCAGGTTTATCTGGCAATCGATCGTTTGCCGATTTGGCATCCCTCAAGCCATCATCTCCGACAACGGCAAACAATTCGATAACGCGAAGTACAGAAAATTTTGTGCAGATCTCCAGATTCAACCATGCTTCTCTTCCCCCGGTCACCCCCAAGCAAACGGCCAAGTTGAGGTCACCAACCGTTCCCTTCTGAAAATCATCAAAACTAAGCTCGAAGCTGCTAAAGGCCTTTGGGCTGAGGAACTACCAAATGTACTCTGGGCTTACCGAACCACTGCTCGCACTCCCACTAGGGAAACCCCTTTTTGCTTAACATATGGCGCTGAGGCGGTTATCCCGGTAGAAGTCGGTCTACCCACCCCCAGGGTTCTACATCCGGATCTGGCCTCAACCGAAGAGCTCCATCGAACAGACCTGGACCTCGTCGAAGAGCTCAGAGAGACTGCTGCTGTCAGATTGGCTTCATACCAGCAGAAAATGAGAACATACTACAACCGCAGAGTTCGACCACGAGAGTTCTCTGTGGGGGACCTTGTCTTAAGAGAAGCAACTCTTGCCACAAAGAATCCAACCGAGGGCAAACTGGCAGCCAAATGGGAGGGACCCTACGTAGTGAAAGCCCGACCGTGACCAGGCACTTACCGACTTCAAGACATGGAAGGTCGCGACCTCCCCCACCCCTGGAATGCGGAACATTTGAAGCGTTACTATCAATAAGTTCATACTTTTGTATTGTCAACATTGTTGTATTTCCCTCTTTAATACATAATACAAATTCCGACTGAAGTTCTCAGCTTTTATAATTCAACTGTCTGTATGTCGCTCCCATGACACTTTCACTTGCAGCACTTCAAAGCCTCAGCCAGCCGAACACTCAAAGCCTCAGCCAGACTGAGCACTCAAAGCCTCGGCCAGACCAAGCACTCAAAGCCCTCGGCCAGACCGAGCACTTCAAAGCCTCGGCCAGACCGAGCACTTCAAAGCCTCGGCCAGACCGAGCACTTCAAAGCCTCGGCCAGACCGAGCACTTCAAAGCCTCGGCCAGACCGAGCACTTCAAAGCCTCGGCCAGACCGAGCACTTCAAAGCCTCGGCCAGACCGAGCACTTCAAAGCCTCGGCCAGACCGAGCACTTCAAAGCCTCGGCCAGACCGAGCACTTCAAAGCCTCGGCCAGACCGAGCACTTCAAAGCCTCGGCCAGACCGAGCACTTCAAAGCCTCGGCCAGACCGAGCACTTCAAAGCCTCGGCCAGACCGAGCACTTCAAAGCCTCGGCCAGACCGAGCACTTCAAAGCCTCGGCCAGACCGAGCACTTCAAAGTCGGCCAGACCGAGCACTCAAACCCTCAGCCAAACTGAGCACTCAAAGCCTCAGCCAGACTAAGCACTCAAAGCCTCGGCCAGACCAAGAACTCAAAGCCTCAGCAAGACTGAGCACTTCAAAGCCTCGACCAGACCGAGCACTTCAAAGCCAAGCAGGACCACATTTTCAACACTTAGTCACATCTTAAAGCTTATTCATAATTCCAGGACCACGTTTTTACTTAGTCAGATTCCAAAGATGCTATCACATATTTCACTCACTAATCAGATTATCTCCCACCCCATCTAATTTGTTTCTCCAATCGTTTCTCTACAATTTGCAACCCACTTTTCTATTCCCATCCATGGATCCTTCATCCATCCTTATTAAACTAGAAGTCCTAACCCCATTCGAATATTATGTTCTACAATTTCATAATCCAATTTTTTAATAAACCACTATCGCCCTTTCAATTTTCATACACATCCAATCTCGCTCTGCAGGGAGGAACGTTTAACTTAACAATTTTTAATTTTCATACACATTTTTATTGCACAATTTTTATGACCAGTTTTTATAACTAGACTTCATTCATTTTAGCCAGTACAGGCCAACACAGTCAATTGACAACATAAATGAAATTTTATTCATTTATAATGTGTACACAAGTTCATTACAATAATACAAAAAAAAAAACAACAACAACAACAAAAACACAAAACAAACACAGAGAGGGGGCTCTTCATCTCCCTTGGTCATTCCTCCTCGCTGGATACAAGCTCTTCTTCTTTAATACCCTCGTCCAGGGGGGTCTGGGCCACATCATCTTCACCAATCGTGACACTACTCAGGTCCAAGTCTGGGAACAGCTCTTCAGCTCTGCGTTTGAACATCTTCCAACCGTTGTCCCAGAACTCAGCCATTTCGTGCTTGTAGAAGTCTGACTGCTGGAAGCTCTCAATCACTTCTGCCTCTGTCCTGCCTCCAGCAGTCGTCCTTGATGGGCCCACCCCCCCAGACTCTTGCCCAGCCAGACTCCTGGCGATTGCGGCATCTACCGCCATCTGAAATTCAGGAGACCCTTTGTATTGCTCCACTGCTGCGACGCACAGATCAGGGTAGGCCGCCCTCTCAGAAGCCGCCTTCACCCTCTCTTTGTCCAGCTCTCTCTGCAGGGCCCCCCTTTCAGCAGCCGCTGTCGCCCTCTCCTCTTCCACTCCCTTCTTCAGACTCTCCATCTCTGCCATCGCCTTCACCTTCTCTGCTTCCAACTCTCTCACCAGCCTCCCCTTCTCCTCCTCTGCTTTGACGCGCTCATCCTCCAACCCCTTCAACAGATCTCTAATTCTGGCATCTGCCTCATCTTTTTGCCTGACCAACTCTTCATTGCTGCTCATGGCCTCTTCATGCCGCTCGATCGCAACGGCGCAGGCTCTTTCAGACTCCTCCAACTTTTTCTATTCGCCAGCCAGTTGGAACTCGAGCGACACGACCTTACGGCGTGTGTCCTCCAGCTCCAACTTGACTACTTGCAGTTCGGCATGGGCAGTCTTCCAATCAGCACTGTCCTTCTTCAACTTGGCCAGCTGGGCCTTGGCCTCCTTAGCTTTTAGCTTGGTAGCTCCTGCTTTCCTCAGAAGGGCCCCTGCCAAGGTAGTTACCTCCATTTGGGCAGAGTACAACCCCCTCAGCAGATCAGCCTCATTAAACCCGGATGCCGAGCGAAGGGCTGCCTCCTCCATAATTTTCACCAAGCGGTCTACCCCCGCCCTGGCTGGGCCTTCTTCTCCCTCCAACCTTCCAGCTACCGCGCACGCATGATAAATCGCCGTAGCCAGACGGACCCCTCCTTCCTGGGGGGCAAGCCCCTTTTGGGTCTGCTCCCTCCCACGCGGCGCAGCCTCAGTCAACTCAGCTCCTACTTGCGCTGTTGGGGCAGTCTCCACAACATCCAGTGTTGGGGTGACCCCCACCACCTCTGGGGCATCCTTGGCCACAGGGACCTCCACCTCAGCTGGGGCCACCTTAGCCCTCTTGGCCCCAGACTCATCTGCAGCTCCCTCTGGGGCACTCATCTTCTTCTTTTTCTTCTTCTTCTTCTTCTTCTTCTTATTCTTCTTCTTCAGAGCCTCCCCCTCCGTTCTAGCCTGTTCTTTTACAGGATCTACGGGGGGCGGTCGTGGCTCAAAGCTGCTTAAGTCCTTCTCCCCCAGCGGCCTTGGGCGCAGTCGGATCCTCTCCCGTGCGATCGGTTGAGGCGGTCGGTCTCCTCGTTCTTCCTTCAACTTCGTGGCCTTGGCGAGTATGGCCTGATCCTCTACTTCCTGAACCTCTCTCCTCGCCTCCAATTCGGCTCGGTCGAGGTCTCCACCTCTCGGTTGCGGTCCCAAACCTGCCTCAAACAATACGGATGGCTGAACAAGCTCGTCCCATTTGGCCTTCTCTCTCTCCCTCCACTCCTTCACCTTCTTCACCCTCTCTTCCGCCGCTGCCCCCAGCCTTGGCTCCATCGACCTAATGGGCACCTTCCAGATAGTGCGTACTCCCCGTCCCCCATTACCAGACACGTAGAACCACCGTGGCCGCCACCCCTTGACCGATGTCGGCAGCCCCGCCACCAATCCCCTCTCCATCACTGCCTGTAGGGTCACCCACGTCTCCTGCTACCCCGAAGCTTTATAACAAGAAAAGAACTCGTCTACCGCCATGGCTTTCCCTCCATTCGCCTTAGGCCACGTACTAGCGCAGGCCAACAGAATCTTCCACCATTGCGCATCAATTGCCCCCGGCGCTACCTCCAAACGGTTCAGTACGTCAACCACCACTTGGGGCAGTGGCAACCTCAGCCCACCTTTTAGCGCCTCCTCATAAAGGGAAAACTCCCCTGGCCTGGCATCAGACAGCCTTTCCCTTGACGTTGGCAGCAGTAACTCCACCTCAGTCGGAATCTGGTACTTTCCCCTGATAGCCTCCAAATCCGCCGCAGTAATAGTGGATTTGTCAGCCTTAGTGTGCCACTGATCCGGCTCTACCTGGCTTATTGGCTTTGGAACCAATATCAGGGCCGACGCCTGCGATTTTCCCACCGGTTCCCCCACCCCCACCATTCGTGTCTCCATCCTATATCGCGCTGCTAGCTCCTCTGCATCATCGTCTCCCAGAGGGTCCACCCTCACATCGACCACTTCTTCTTGTGCCATTTCTAGGGTTTGCTTACGAATCACTTCTGACGCAGGAGCAAGGAAGTTGAGAAAATGTTTCACAGGTGTGTCGTACGCAATGAAGGAATTAACACTTGGGTATTTTGAGTTTTTGTAAAAAGGTAGGTGAAACGCATTATACCAAAAACCCACGGTTCACCCGTATTCCATGGATCCACATTAATTTTCGCCCATTTCAAAACCTTTCAAATCAACCGCCAAAATCGCCTTTTCAAAACCCCCCTCGTGACCTATCGTTTCATTTCTGCTCCAACGTTTCACTTCCCCCACGATATTGCCACGTGTATGGCCACGATGCACTGTCCCCTCCCCTTACCCTGTCCTTTCCATTTCACATCATCACATGGCACCAACCCCTCCTCTTTTTGAGCCCCGCGCCGTCGCGGTCGACATGCCTAACGGTCAACCCCTCCCGCTCGGCCACCCTCGCGGTCGGCACGCCTCACGGTCGACACCTCCCGCTCGACCACCCTCACGGTCGACCCCTCCCGCTCGGCCACCCTCGCAGTCAGCACGCCTAACGGTCAACCCCCCTACTCGGCCACCCTCGCAGTCGGCACGCCTAACGGTCGACCCCTCCCGCTCAGCCACCCTCGCGGTCGGCACGCCTCACGGTCGACCCCTCCCGCTCGACCACCCTCACGGTCAGCCCCTCCCGCTCGGCCAACCTTGCGGTCGGCATGGCTAACGGTCGGCCTCTCCCCTCGGTTCACACTTCTCTTCCTTATTACTATTCCCTTCGTTGGGCTAAAGCTGCACTCGGAAATGGGGCACTACTGACATGGAGAGGCCCATAAGGCTTACGGCCCACAGCAAACAACCTCAAACCCATCGCTTGGGACCCATAGCATAACCCGGTTGGCAAAGCTCAGGACAGCTGGAGGCCATCTGGACATGGAAGGCCAATGGCATTCGGGCACATGGCAGGTGAAACACAAGCCACATCAGCAGACAAAGATCTGCAAAGTTATTGTCACAGCACATCACCATTAATGCAGCCCATCACAGCATTTATTACGACAACACCTCCCCGTCGGAACAGAGCCCCCTCACCCTGAACAAGGTAAGCTACGGCACAGGCTTTCGGCGGAACGGGGCACGTCACAAGGGACAGTGAAATGATTACCAAAGGATATAAGCAAGAAGGGAAGACAAGAGGAAGGTTAAGCTTTTCTATCTCTCGCTCTCTCTCTCTCTATATATATTTTCCTTCCTCCTTTACTGATTTGCTCGCCGGAGGGTTCACTGGGGGACTACCCCGTTCCCCTTTGGACTTGCTTGCAGGTCATCTGGTGGAATCATCCACCTGAATCGAAACTTGAAGAGCTTGGACCAGCCCGACCCATCCACCCAGGACGGACTGCATTATCATAATTGATAAGTTGTAACTTAGATTATGTGATTGTATAATATATAATAAAACTCAGGCTTACTGGGTGAAAAATGAGGTTTCTTTCCTTTGATGGTAGACTAACATTAATTAAATATGTGCTAGCTTGTTTACCTATGTATTATTTATCACTATTTAGGATGCCAGAAGGAGTAGCAAAGGAAATTGATAGATTACAAGCTTTCTTTTTGTGGGGAGGCACAGATTTAAAAAGAAAAATTCATCTAGTGCAATGGAAAGAGGTGACAAAGAGTATTAAGCAAGGAGGGCTGGGGATTAGGAGAATTAGAGAGGTAAATGCTTGCCTATTGATGAAGTGGTGGTAGAGGTTTGCTAATGAAGAGGATGCATTATGGAAAAAGGTATTATGCAATAAGTGCAAAATGGCAGAGGGTGACTGGGTCCCAAATTTAACTATGGGTTTAAGATGTTCTAAGATATAGTGTGATTTTTTAACAGTGATAGAGCAAAGAAACAATCTATTACAATTTTATGCTAATAATCTGCAGATTAAAGTGGGTGATGGAAGTAGAGTGAGATTTTGACATGATAAATGGTGTGGTGATATTTGTCTCAAAGATGAATTTCCTAGACTCTTTTCAATCTCTACTGTCAAAAATGGAACACTCGGGTTTTATTTTGTTGTTAAAGAGAATTTTGAGTTGTGAGATCTCAACTCTAGAAGGCCATCGCACCAGTGGGAGGTTGAAGAGCAAAGTAGAATCATAGATGTGTTAAGAGCAGCTCCTGCATTAAGAGTGGGTGTTAAGGATAAATCAAGGTGGTTAGCATCCCAAACAGGTCAGTCATTTGTTACAACTCTGTATAGACAATGTGAATTGGATTTTGGGGATTGTGTTAGTGCTAGTAGATTGGTGTGGATGAAATATCTGCCACCCAAAGTCCAATTCTTTGGGTGGCTAGCTTGGAAATATAAAGTTAAAACTTCTGTCTTTCTAAAAAAGATTGGAGTTCTTGATGAAAATGCATCTGCTTTGTGTGTCTTTTGTAAATTAGAGGACGAGTCTGTTGAGCATGTTCTCATTTCTTGCCCACTGGTTTGGAAGGTTTGGGCTGGTTTGTTGCAGTGGTGGGGTGTGTTATGGGTTGTGCCGGGTTCAATGGAGTGTTTACTGCAGTGGTGGGCTAGAAACAACTTTAGCAAAGCTGAGAGAAGGATTTGGAATGCAATTCCTTTGCTTGCCCTTTGGTCCATTTGGAATCATAGGAATGACTGTCTATTTAATAATGTTCAACCAGATATAGGGGAGCTGCATGAGGTAATTATCATCAAATTAGCTATATGGCTGAAAGCTACAACTAAGGATTATCATTACACTATCAATGATTTTCTTTACAACATTATGTAGATTAGATATTGTTTAGGTGGAAAGTTGTAATCCTTGTTTGTTTTGGGGGTAGTAATGGGGTGTATTGAGTTGGATTATCTCTAACTCTTGGTAGAGGCTTTGGGGATGCAAATGATTGGTCTTACTTTGGGTGCCAACATAGTTGGGATGCTTAGCTTTGACAATGATGTAACTTTTCCCAATCTATATTGTATACTTCTATTTTTAATAAAATTTCTTTGATTGCCGTTCAAAAACAATAATAATAATAATAATAATAATAATAAAAACAAAAAAAGTAATAATAATAATAATAATAATAATAATAATAATAATAATAATAATAATAATAATAATAATAATAATAATAATAATAATAATAATAATAATAATAATAATAATAATAATAATAATAATAATAATAATAATAATAATAATAATAATAATAATAATAATAATAATAATAATAATAATAATAATAATAATAATAATAATAATAATAATAATAATAATAATAATAATAATAATAATAATAATAATAATAATAATAATAATAATAATAATAATAATAATAATAATAATAATAATAATAATAATAATAATAATAATAATAATAATAATAATAATAATAATAATAATAATAATAATAATAATAATAATAATAATAATAATAATAATAATAATAATAATAATAATAATAATAATAATAATAATAATAATAATAATAATAATAATAATAATAATAATAATAATAATAATAATAATAATAATAATAATAATAATAATAATAATAATAATAATAATAATAATAATAATAATAATAATAATAATAATAATAATAATAATAATAATAATAATAATAATAATAATAATAATAATAATAATAATAATAATAATAATAATAATAATAATAATAATAATAATAATAATAATAATAATAATAATAATAATAATAATAATAATAATAATAATAATAATAATAATAATAATAATAATAATAATAATAATAATAATAATAATAATAATAATAATAATAATAATAATAATAATAATAATAATAATAATAATAATAATAATAATAATAATAATAATAATAATAATAATAATAATAATAATAATAATAATAATAATAATAATAATAATAATAATAATAATAATAATAATAATAATAATAATAATAATAATAATAATAATAATAATAATAATAATAATAATAATAATAATAATAATAATAATAATAATAATAATAATAATAATAATAATAATAATAATAATAATAATAATAATAATAATAATAATAATAATAATAATAATAATAATAATAATAATAATAATAATAATAATAATAATAATAATAATAATAATAATAATAATAATAATAATAATAATAATAATAATAATAATAATAATAATAATAATAATAATAATAATAATAATAATAATAATAATAATAATAATAATAATAATAATAATAATAATAATAATAATAATAATAATAATAATAATAATAATAATAATAATAATAATAATAATAATAATAATAATAATAATAATAATAATAATAATAATAATAATAATAATAATAATAATAATAATAATAATAATAATAATAATAATAATAATAATAATAATAATAATAATAATAATAATAATAATAATAATAATAATAATAATAATAATAATAATAATAATAATAATAATAATAATAATAATAATAATAATAATAATAATAATAATAATAATAATAATAATAATAATAATAATAATAATAATAATAATAATAATAATAATAATAATAATAATAATAATAATAATAATAATAATAATAATAATAATAATAATAATAATAATAATAATAATAATAATAATAATAATAATAATAATAATAATAATAATAATAATAATAATAATAATAATAATAATAATAATAATAATAATAATAATAATAATAATAATAATAATAATAATAATAATAATAATAATAATAATAATAATAATAATAATAATAATAATAATAATAATAATAATAATAATAATAATAATAATAATAATAATAATAATAATAATAATAATAATAATAATAATAATAATAATAATAATAATAATAATAATAATAATAATAATAATAATAATAATAATAATAATAATAATAATAATAATAATAATAATAATAATAATAATAATAATAATAATAATAATAATAATAATAATAATAATAATAATAATAATAATAATAATAATAATAATAATAATAATAATAATAATAATAATAATAATAATAATAATAATAATAATAATAATAATAATAATAATAATAATAATAATAATAATAATAATAATAATAATAATAATAATAATAATAATAATAATAATAATAATAATAATAATAATAATAATAATAATAATAATAATAATAATAATAATAATAATAATAATAATAATAATAATAATAATAATAATAATAATAATAATAATAATAATAATAATAATAATAATAATAATAATAATAATAATAATAATAATAATAATAATAATAATAATAATAATAATAATAATAATAATAATAATAATAATAATAATAATAATAATAATAATAATAATAATAATAATAATAATAATAATAATAATAATAATAATAATAATAATAATAATAATAATAATAATAATAATAATAATAATAATAATAATAATAATAATAATAATAATAATAATAATAATAATAATAATAATAATAATAATAATAATAATAATAATAATAATAATAATAATAATAATAATAATAATAATAATAATAATAATAATAATAATAATAATAATAATAATAATAATAATAATAATAATAATAATAATAATAATAATAATAATAATAATAATAATAATAATAATAATAATAATAATAATAATAATAATAATAATAATAATAATAATAATAATAATAATAATAATAATAATAATAATAATAATAATAATAATAATAATAATAATAATAATAATAATAATAATAATAATAATAATAATAATAATAATAATAATAATAATAATAATAATAATAATAATAATAATAATAATAATAATAATAATAATAATAATAATAATAATAATAATAATAATAATAATAATAATAATAATAATAATAATAATAATAATAATAATAATAATAATAATAATAATAATAATAATAATAATAATAATAATAATAATAATAATAATAATAATAATAATAATAATAATAATAATAATAATAATAATAATAATAATAATAATAATAATAATAATAATAATAATAATAATAATAATAATAATAATAATAATAATAATAATAATAATAATAATAATAATAATAATAATAATAATAATAATAATAATAATAATAATAATAATAATAATAATAATAATAATAATAATAATAATAATAATAATAATAATAATAATAATAATAATAATAATAATAATAATAATAATAATAATAATAATAATAATAATAATAATAATAATAATAATAATAATAATAATAATAATAATAATAATAATAATAATAATAATAATAATAATAATAATAATAATAATAATAATAATAATAATAATAATAATAATAATAATAATAATAATAATAATAATAATAATAATAATAATAATAATAATAATAATAATAATAATAATAATAATAATAATAATAATAATAATAATAATAATAATAATAATAATAATAATAATAATAATAATAATAATAATAATAATAATAATAATAATAATAATAATAATAATAATAATAATAATAATAATAATAATAATAATAATAATAATAATAATAATAATAATAATAATAATAATAATAATAATAATAATAATAATAATAATAATAATAATAATAATAATAATAATAATAATAATAATAATAATAATAATAATAATAATAATAATAATAATAATAATAATAATAATAATAATAATAATAATAATAATAATAATAATAATAATAATAATAATAATAATAATAATAATAATAATAATAATAATAATAATAATAATAATAATAATAATAATAATAATAATAATAATAATAATAATAATAATAATAATAATAATAATAATAATAATAATAATAATAATAATAATAATAATAATAATAATAATAATAATAATAATAATAATAATAATAATAATAATAATAATAATAATAATAATAATAATAATAATAATAATAATAATAATAATAATAATAATAATAATAATAATAATAATAATAATAATAATAATAATAATAATAATAATAATAATAATAATAATAATAATAATAATAATAATAATAATAATAATAATAATAATAATAATAATAATAATAATAATAATAATAATAATAATAATAATAATAATAATAATAATAATAATAATAATAATAATAATAATAATAATAATAATAATAATAATAATAATAATAATAATAATAATAATAATAATAATAATAATAATAATAATAATAATAATAATAATAATAATAATAATAATAATAATAATAATAATAATAATAATAATAATAATAATAATAATAATAATAATAATAATAATAATAATAATAATAATAATAATAATAATAATAATAATAATAATAATAATAATAATAATAATAATAATAATAATAATAATAATAATAATAATAATAATAATAATAATAATAATAATAATAATAATAATAATAATAATAATAATAATAATAATAATAATAATAATAATAATAATAATAATAATAATAATAATAATAATAATAATAATAATAATAATAATAATAATAATAATAATAATAATAATAATAATAATAATAATAATAATAATAATAATAATAATAATAATAATAATAATAATAATAATAATAATAATAATAATAATAATAATAATAATAATAATAATAATAATAATAATAATAATAATAATAATAATAATAATAATAATAATAATAATAATAATAATAATAATAATAATAATAATAATAATAATAATAATAATAATAATAATAATAATAATAA